ATTTACAGCACGAGATATTTGCAGTGATACAGTGATACACCATTTTAGAACACAATCTTATATGTAACTCATTATGGATGCAGTGGATCACACAAAACGTCATTTCTCATATATTATAACCTTAGAGTTGAAAGACTCCATGCATTTTCATTACTAATTAGTTAAATAAAGACATCTTAACTGAACAATGACATTCAGGACGAAGTAAAACTTTTGAAAGATAGCTTTTCTGTAGTTGGTTTGTAAGGATTATTTTTGTTTTTTACGGGTTGATCACGGATCGATATCAGCCAGACAACCATTGAAAACCATGGAGTACTCGACAGCTGTTTCATCCTAGTCTGGGAATCATCGTCAGTACGCACCCGCCGCCAGGGTTCAAACCCAGGACCTTCCGGTTACAAGGCAAGCTCGTATAACATTCAGCCACTGGGACCCGATTCAGTGGCTCATGAATTCCGACTTCTACCAATTCGTGATTTCGCGTGACCCCAACCAATATCGTTGGTGGGACATCCATCCTCAAACTTGACTGGACGGACCTCACTGGTCACGACTTCTTACTAGGACTTAAGGAAACTCCATCCTGTAGCAGTGGTTCAATGGTTGGTTGGAGTCGCGCTAAATGCATTAAGAATTGGTAAAAGTTAGAATTCATGGGTCATTGAATCGCTTCCCACGCTGTGATGGGTTCGTACTGCCGATAATTCTCAAGCTAGGATGAAGTAGCTGCCCAGTACTCTCTGGTTTAAATGCTTCTCTAACACATATCAATCCGTGATCAACTCGTAAAAAGGTAGCTTTGACAATGACTTCACTTACAAATTTTCGCCACATGTACAGTTACGTTTAAGGAGTAACACTGGAAAAAAACATATACGCCGACAAAAAGTTTGTATTTACATTCGTCAACAGCATTGACACAGAAAACTGACAGTATCACATGAACTTTACCGACACTTCTAAAAGCAGATGACCTTATCAGAGTTTTTAATCAGGAATCAACACCTCATAAGATGGCTAGAACACATGTTGTGCATGCTAAGACACTACTGACATAAGAATATGTTGGAGATAAACGGAAGAAAATCCGGCATCAATTCATAAAATATTTGATAGTTAGTTTCAGCCAATCTATATAGGAAGGTGAAGACTGCCTGATTGGGAACAACGGGCTGCTAAGAACTAAGGTCCTAGTGTCTACCAGAGATATTGCTCAAAGATATTACTCTCAGAGATGTAGCTGCATTCACTCTTTGTAGTTACCTAGATCCATTAAACTCTCATGTGTCTTAATCTTTTTATTCTATCTTCGGACACATTCCTGGTCATTACAATTCTTCTGAATCTTTTGTTCTTTCTTTGCAATACCAATACTGGACTGGAAAGATGCTTCTGCAAGCCACATCTAACTACCGGCCTGCAAGTCTGACGTGCATTATACTAAAGGTATTAGAAATACTCATAAGGGATCAGCTCTTAGCACATATGGAAAAACATGGCTTACTGACAGTGGAACAGCATGGATTACGACCAGGACGATCCTGCTTGAGAAACTTACTGTTGGCTAGGGAAGATTGGGTCGAGGCCAGGGATAAAAACCATCTGATGGACGTTGTCTTTATCGATTTTAGCAAAGCATTCAATAAGGTATCTCATTTAGGTCTTCTTAGTAAACTTAAACATTTTGGATTAGACCAACGCTTATGTGAGTGGTTTAGTGACTACTTGATGGATAGAAGGCAGAAGGTAAGAGTTAATAGTGTATTGTCAGGGTGGAAAGTAGTACTAAGGGGATACCCCAGGAAACTTTACCACCTGCTATTCCTATTATACATTAATTAACTGCCAAAAATTCTAACCTTATCTTCTTTATTATTTGAGGATGATATTAATATATGGAAAACCGTAGATAATAACGATGATAGGTTGTTAGTACAAAACGATCTAGATGGACTAGCTGAATGAGCTAACCTATACAGTCTGGAAAGTGATTCCAAGAAAAGTGCGTCAGTGCACCTAGGCCAGAGGTCTTACACGTCGTACTTTCTGTGGGAAAGAGAACTACCAGATGTTAAGGGACAAAAGGACTTTGTAATTATTGTAAACCATGACTTAAAAACAACGGCATATTGTGATGGAGCCTCAGCTAAGGCTTTTCGAATGCTATGGGCACTTAAAAGGGCTTTCAAACGATTAGACAAGGGTATGCTCCAAGTACTCTATGCAACATATGTCAGACCTCATCTAGAATACTGCATACAACCTGTGAGTCCATGCTTCAAAAAGGAGGCAAATATCCCAGAAAGAGTACAAAGAATAGGAACCAAATTAGTCAGTGGTATCTCAAATCTTCCATAGGATAAGAGAATGGAGCATTTAAATCTCTGCTCATTATCATATCGAAGGAGGAGAGGCGACTTAATTTTGGCTTACAATATATTCAAGGGCGATTTATGAATTGACCTTTCAAACCTTTTCTCTCCATCTAGGATACATTTACAAGGTCACTACAAGAAGGTGCTCAAACCAAGGTCGAATAAAATACGTGTGGAACTGAGATTCTCTCACAGAGCGGTCAACGACTGGAACTCTTTTCCTGATTCAGTAGTAACAGCTCCATCGATGAACGCTTTCAAAAAGAAACTAGATCTCTGCAGAGATATATGCCGCAAGGGTTAACGTAGGCAACAAGAGCCTTCTACCCTTATAATCTGAATCTGAACATGACTAATATACTTTGTCATATGAATAACGGTTAAGCGGCAAATTAGATAGGCATCAAGTGTTGGAACGTCAAGTTGAAGATTTGCGTGTTACATGATGCAGATATTCATAGCTCCTGTTTGACGACAGTGTGAGCCACAAATGACTGAAATCACATGGGACTCTTCCCAAAAGATCATCATCTCAGGTATTATGCTTTAGAGAACACAACAAAGTAGAAAAAAGACAACTGAAACTACAATAAATTAAAATTTACAGCGGACTGAAAGTCACCAAACTGAAGACTAGCAATCATTGTGAGGATCTAAGAAAACATCTTGGCCATCGTACACAATTTCGATACATTTCTCAACCTTGTATTCTCATCACCTTGAGAAATTCAGTTAAATATCCTACACTCAGATGGTGATGGGTATGATGTTTTGTTCTGTCTAATGATAACAGCAGCATTCTTCATACTCAATACCGGCTATTCATGACTGTTTTTACAAACGGAGAGTCGCGAACAGATATTTCGTAAACTACTGACTGCTACTGCCCACAAAATAACGAATAATCAGAATCACCCAAACAAAAGTGTTCTGCCATTGAGTAGGTATAGAACTTCCTCGTGGAAATCCCAGAAGGATAGCCCACCAGAGGGCAAGGATCCGGATGCGTTCTCACTTCTTTTCACTGGGGGTTTGCCGACCCTGCAATTCCTTACCGGCAGATGTAGCTATGGCATCATCTGTGGAGGCCTTTAAGCGAAAGCTGGACAATGATGCAGCGACACAAGGACTGCGTCCGAATGGCCTATCCTCTTAAAATCTCGTACACCATTCAGGGATAGACAACTAAATTCTTCGTTTTGCTTCTTTACATTCTCTCCCGTCTTATTCTTCTGACAACTTTAACTACATTTATTATTATTATCATTATTACCGATATATATATATATATATATATATATATATATATAATTCTTCAAGTTTAATCAGCTGACTGTTGTTACGTTTTCTTTATTTCTTTTTCTCTCTGTTAGTCTGAATAACTTCACTAATTATATCTATTATTATTATCTCTTTTCTTTGACGACGATACCGGATCAACTCTATTCACAGTAGAAACAGTCTTAACACACCTCATACTATGAACTACATATAGTTAATCCCAGCACTACTCCTTCTGGAGTCAACCAAAGCTACGACAGTCGAGTGGTGGAACGAGCTACGCAGATGTTTACCAAAGATCAGGAACCTATAACTTACAATCACGAGGCGAGCACAAAGAAATCAAATTGGTTAATACTAGCTCGTAAAAACAATACTGTATATTGGATACACAAGCCTATTTTAACCCTTGCGGCATATATCTCTGCAGAGATCTAGTTTCTCTCTGAAAGCGTTCATCGATGGAACTGTTACTACTGAATCAGGAAAAGAGTTCCAGTCGTTGACCGCTCTGTGAGAGAATCTCAGTTCCACACGTATTTTATTCGACCTTGGTTTGAGCACCTTCTTGTGGTGACCTCGTCAATGTACCCTTTTCAACTATCACATAAAAAATCTTTTAGGTTCGTATAAGTTCAAGGTCTCTTCTTTGTTACTATAGACAATTGAGAAATGTCGCAGAATAAATGAAACTTCCACAGTAAAACATTCGTAAAGACAAAGACGTTTGGGAGCGATATATGATCCAAGTAAATTCGAGCATATATCTTATAATACCAAAAGCGATGTATACGGATCTTCCAGGAAGCGTACTGAAAATGAATAACGACTGCGACTAGAAATATTATGCAAGGTTGAATAATTAGGTGTTATTTTTAAGCTTAAATAATTCAAAAGATCCAGAGAATCGCATAATCCATTTCCCTCAGTGCCTAACTGTTTTGTATGTTACTCTACGAGTGACTACTGACATCAACATGAGTACATCAGGCTTCAAATGTCCAACAAAAACTACAATCTCCATTTCATAGCACTTTTTCATAGGTGAACTTTAACAAAAGTATCAGAATATTAGCACAGAATGTGAAAGTAATTTTAGTTCTCGTAACACATGAAAATTTTAAAACAAAAATTAAATGAATTCGTGTTCCTATCTAACATAAATAGCTGAGATACATTGTTAATACTTTGCACTTAAGATTGAAAGATTTTAATTCCTTGCTTTAATATTCAGTGGAGGTTTTTAGCAGTTCTTACATCAGAAGAAGTGCATAACAGGTGCCTAATCTTCTGAAGTTAGAAAGTGTTTAAAAACAACAAAACTACAAACATAAAGCTGACCTTGTCGCGCGAGATTAGGCATTGCAATCTGAAAACACCGCGTCAATGAAGCTGCTTTATATCTGTCCTTTTAGTTTAAAGTAAGCAGGCATTTTTAATAATTATCCTACTTGTGATACTTCAGTGAAACCATTAGCTAAATTTGCTGAGATGTCATTGGTACCTTTTTGGTCGTACTTATTTTCACCTAGATTCATAATATGGGTTTGCTATTCCCTACGGTCTGTGATATACAACTGATAATGCAATGTGTATTTTTAAATAAGTATGACAAAATTCCCTCAGCTCTTAGTTATGATTTTCTATCTAACCACCGTCTTCAGAATACACATAGAGGGAAAATTGTCGTAGTGAATGAACTCAGAAATTGCATGTGGTTTGTGTTTCAAGCTACCCATCTCATATAACTAAATCTGTTTCATAACACTCCCTCTTTTCCTGTTAATCGATGGAATCAACCTGAAACTCGATAAATATAGATAAATAATACTGCAGATACTTTTCTCAGTACGTAGTTCTCATACTATTTCCATTCACGAAATTCTCAGCTAGATCAATTTAGTGATTTAGAGAAGTTCAGTAGGCATTACTACGTCTCTCTGCACATGGTTCCCATAAAGTACACGCTATTCTATGGTAAAATGATGAGCCTAAGGTTGATTACACTCATAATTCGACTGTGTCACACTCGCATAAATCATCCACTCGCCAGTTCCCATCGGGGTTCTACACAAACAATTGCCTGCATTGGTCACAATATCACTCGAAGGTTTCCTCGACGTACGCGCAATCCATCAACCTCCATTTTCTCCAACATATTTTTAATGAGCATTCAGCTCATGGATAGTTTGTCCACAGAGTTTCCTGATGCTAATTTATTATGGCAGGCTGGCCATTTCACTAACCAGTGAAGGTGACAATTGTTGATAAAAGTCGTGAAAAGTAGTGCAAGTTTCCAGCCCATATAGAAGAACTGACTGACTGATTTCACATTCCTGTTGAAAACCCGGATCTTGTTCAATATATTCAGTGGGGGCAGAAGATTTCCAAACTGATTTCAGGTTGATGAAGGTGTAGTACCCCTACAGCAACTGTAAGCACGCTTTTTAATCTAATTTGTATACTTGTATTATATGTGTATACAGACCGATTTTATATGTACTTCGCAAACATTTGTCAATTTACTGTTGAATATTACCTTGACACAATTTTCGAATTTGACTACTGCTACAATACACATTCGTAATCTTCGCAAGTGCCTTTTGATTTACGTTGTGGGCGTCGAGTAGCCGCGACGTCTGCACACATGAATAAGAATGAAGAAATACTAGAATATATGTGTACGGCAGTTTAGTCAGACAACGCACGCAACAAAATTGTTGAGCCCGACGTGATTAATTCGACAGCGACGACAAATTGGTGTCCTTGACGGTAACTTGTTCCCCACGACTAATCATTACACTTGCCGGATTATTTAAACTCTAACTTTATCCGATATATATACATATAATAGACATTTCGAACTCATTCTTTTTCTTTATCATCTCAAAACTTGCAGTAATCTGTGGTAAGCATCTGCATTGCATGTTTTTCTGTTTTGCCATATTCTTAGTGTGCATAATTTTTTGCTATTTTGCTACTGTTAAACCATTTTTCTACGAAATGTAACATGTCTTCCGATACCTCTAATAACTTAGAGCTGGGATCTGTTAGTACTATTTCTCTTACTGTACCAGTTTTTAAGCCCAGAGACCCCCATCTTTGGTTTGCACGACTGGAGCATTATTTCACTGCCAACAAGCTCACGTCACAGACGGCTAAATTTGGCATTCTGAGTACAGTACTACCAGACGAAATCGCCGAACAGGTTCGACAACACATAGTTTAACCCAGCACAGACGCTCCTTACGACAAGTTGAAGGAAGAGGTACTTCTATGCACTTCGCTTTCTGATAGACAAACACTCGATCGTTTGTTAAGCAATGTAGAGCTAGGTGATAAAACCCCATCACAACTCATGAGGCACATGCAAAGCCTAGTGGCAGGAAGAGATATCGATAAACGTCTCTTTTACCAAATTTGGTTGCGTCGGCTTCCTGCAAACACTCAGCAAGTTCTTGCTTTCGGAGACGACGACATCGACATAGAAAAGCTCGCCAAAATCGCGGATCGCATGTACGAAAGGTCAACACCTCAATCTATGGCTTCCACTAGCAGAATACCAGACACTGATGACAGGATACGGACTCTAGAACACAAAGTCGACACCTTACTGAGTCAGTTAGCAGCGCTGACCACACACACACGACCAAGCCGTTCTAGAAGCTCGTCTCGTCGACGTCTTTCTCGATCACCTAGCACGTCACGACTTCACGACACTATTTGCTGGTACCACCGTAGTTACGGAAGCAATGCACGACGATGTTGTTCAGCTTGAAACTTTCAGGCTAAACCAAAAGATGTATCTTCATGTATGAAAACTTCTACTGTCGGAAATCTACGATCTAGCAGTCGTTTGTTTTATGCAACAGATAGAAATACCGGTACTACATTCTTAGTCGACACAGGAGCAGAGGGTAGTGTTCCCCCTCCGTCTACACAGGAACGTCAACTTCCTGACCCTGCAGTTACGCTCCAAGCAGTTAATAAGTCTAATATTGTTACATATGGTAGTAAACGAATGACTTTAGATTTTGGTCCGCAGAATACCTACACTTGGTCTTTCATCATCGCAGACGTTCCATCCCCAATCCTTGGTATAGATTTTCTACAGCAACACAAACTGCTGGTGGATCCGGTTAGCCCTAAACTTATAGACTCGCTCAATAAAAAGTACATCGCTGGTACGATTAGCCGTGCATCATCGCTGAACTGAGCGACTTTATTGCATATACCCACAATGACGCTTGTTGCTATGTTGCTATTGGTTTCAAGTGGCCTTGGTTTTCGGGGAAGATTTAACTGATGTAATATTGCGATTTCGTAGACATAACTCAGGCTCATACGTGAAAAACTATAATCCTGGAATAAAGACAAGTTGTTTAGAAGGTAAGGAGGGCATTATTTTTCAGTTTATTTGTATATATACTATTGTGTATCGAGTTGCACTGAGTTCTTAGTGCATTCATTTTCATTAAGTTCATTTTCATTAAGTGTAGTAATGAAGAATGGAATTTCTTCCACATCAGTGTTATTTAATTGAAGTTTTAATCTTTGTAGGCCCTTGAAGGAATAAATTCGGCACGGAGAACTCCTGTGGAAACCGAAAGCACTTTTAGTTTACTAAATCTTACTGACTCCCTGTATAAATTTGATCTGTCAAGTGTTTATGTAAAGTCTGCTGGTGTATTCAGTAAAGTAAAAGTTGTAGTGCTTAACTCCTAGACTTGTTGTAGTCATTGGTATTGCCAGAATACTACTTACTCGTTTTATGCAGCCGAAGTATTCAATTCTCACTTTATTGAGGAAATAGTATATTGCCTGCAAAAGTAGTGCGTCAGTTTACGAGTTTCATCAAGCCTACAGAATGTTTTCTGTTCACTGAATACTGTTTGCGAATTATCCGAGAAAACACATTTCCGAGTGGGATGTAATACAAAGCTGAATTCTTAAACTGTCATCCTTATAACAGTTCAATTCAATCACACATATAATAATATGATAGTCTGTAATTGACTTCAAAGACTTATCAGGGAATATTCTCATCACCTTACGGTTTGCTGATGATATTGTCCACCTAGACTATGAGAAGTAACCCCTGATGCTGTAAAATATGAAAATAATACCGGTGTTTGATTATAGGTGTCCGCGTTCTATCTCATCAGTAAAGCAGTATAATATGGCGAGTGCTGTTGAGGTTACGCATAAATGTTTAGGTGGGGAGGGTTAGTTAGCCTTCAAGGTAGGGAAGCTGAATAGGTTGAGATGGCTAGAACACGTGCTGGCATACTAAGCCATCGCCTTCCTCCAGGGACAATGCTGACCAGCACATGTTAAGGTTTAAAATGCGTTTGGGTCGGTCAAATGAAAAAGTGATATTGGTTCATAAAATTGTTGACAGTCGGCTGGAAGAAATACCGGAGATGTGACTGCAAATCTTTGGTACTGGTACTGGTGCATTCACTCTGTGTAATCTCACATATCTATTCAACTCATGTTTTTCCTTGTCATTATTTATTCTCCCTCACATTTTCTCTCGTTAAACTTCCATTTAGTTTTATGTCTCTACCTTCGTGTGCTACATGGAATGTGGTAAATTAAACAGGTGGACTTCTCTGCAAACTCATACTGAAAGCTACTCAGAATGACAGTCTGTGCGTAACTAAATGCGAAACATTGATAAATGATCTCCAAAATTTCAACAAATGATAAGTGTAGTTCATAATCTTGCTCTTTGTCAAATGAAAAATTGATACCTTTCGGTAATCTCTTCTTCCACCCGGGACTCGTCTCCTACTTTGCAACTGGATTTGTGCTTTGTCACATTTGTACTTAGTTTTCGGTCATTCAGCATTCGCCGTTGCTGTTGACTCAGCGCCTAGATGACTTTAGTTGAATAAGGTTTCGATCGTGCAAACACGGGTCCTGGGCAGTTGATTGGTTGCATTATCATTTCTCAAATGGAATGCAGCATACTGTATATTAGGGTAAATCTTCCGCCTCGCCTGCTGGAGCTGGTGTTCCTCAGGGTATTGTTATCTCTCTTTTTCTTTTTTCTCTCTCGTCTTACATGACCTTTCTCTTTCTAATGAGAGCAACTTCGTCAAATATGCTGGTGATCTGACCGTCTCACTTCCTGTCATGTTACAATGTGACTGCAGCAAACTTAACTGCTTCCTGTCTGTAGTCTAAGGTACGTGGTCTTACGTTAAATCCCTCTAAATGTCAGGCAGCTAACTTTCCCCTCACTCATAAGCGTGAACTGCGAAAACTGTGTCGTTCACAAGATGCTTGTATCAAAGAGGACACTGAAACAGAAACTAAGTCTAACATAAAATACCTTGGAGTAAATCTATCCTCTGG